AATCCTGATACAGTCGCAAGAGAACTGCCACTTGGGAGAAGATTTGTTCTTCAGCATGAATATGACCAGTTACATACTACAAAAGCTACACAGAAGGTGAACATTCTGGAGTGGCCAAGTGAGAATTTGTAGCTGGACTTGAAAATGGGGTGTTCACTCGTGATTCCTGAACAACTGGACATCTGTACACCTGTAATTGTGGCAAAAGGTGCCTCTATTAAATACTGACTTGAAGGGGCAGAATAGTTATAAAATTACATATTTCATATTTTCAATAAAAAATATTACTTTAATTTTACTCTGTTTTTGCTTTTAGACTTGTTTTCTTAAAAAAAAAAACACGACAAACTAAATCAATTATGATGAAATATCTAAAAGCAGTACAATGGGAGAGAATATGAGAACATGATTTTATGATTTGTAGCATCTCTGTACCACCACGGGGCTCATTTAAAATTGTACGGAGGGACAAAAAGGTTAAAAAAAAAAAAAAAAAAATGTTAAAGAAAAAAACAAAAAAAACATTTTGATTATAAAAATGAAAACACAAAAACATAAAACAAACAAACAAAAAACAATATTCCAACAGCGAGGCTTCTTTGCGCTGCTGAAAAAAGGCACCAAAGAAGAAGAAGGAGTCGGAAGTGACGTCAGAGCCCGGCCTCCAAACAGAGGGCTGCCTCTGTTATGAAAACTCCTGAGAGAAATGTTGGGTAACCGCTGTCTCCGGGCCTTTATACAACTCCACATGGGCAGATAAGTGACGGAGGCTCGTCTAGACATCCTCAAGAAGTGTTGTTGATTTACAAAGTTGTTCAGGCGACATGGCAAAGAGCAGGCAGAGCGCAGAAACAGCGGCCGCTGCAAAGAAACCGAAGCAGGTGCTGAAGAGCCGCGCAGCAAAACCGCGAGCGAAGAAGAAAGATGCGGGTAGGAAGTGTGAGAACACAACAAATCTGTCCGGAGATGTGATGATAATACATCTAAAATCTCCTTCTCTGTGTCTCAACGGATGTCCAGTCAAGTCCCAGTTATTCCTGCAGCACGTTTAGAACCACAGCCACTGAGCCAAAGTGGTTTCCTGCAGAGACATGAGAGTAACGTTATGATTGAAGCTGACAAGTGTAAATATGGAGGTTTAAGCCCAGTGGTTTTATTTATGGCGTGAATTTACCTGATTAAAATCAATATTAAGAATAGAAATCCCACAAAAAATGATGTAGTAGTAATGTAGTAATGCAACACAATGCCTCCATTGTGTGCAAGGTAAGGAGGACTTTGAACTTTATATTTCCCATTCATCTGTAATCTACACCGTCAAACTCCTTATCTTAGTCTACATTCTATGATTATAGTACTTTTTTTTTTTTTAAACACACCTTGTTTATGTCTTTAAACTGCTGCAACACTGCAAGGAATGAAAAGAATACTTTCTGTCCATAAAGATGCAATTTTATGTCACTATGAAAAATATAAAAGTTAAGGCCGTACTGTATTAATGAACTTCATTATTTAATATTTATGTTAAATTTGGACTGTAAAAGGCTTTATGTTTTCCTTTTCTTATTTTTATTTAATATGCCATTTTATTTTGGGATTTTTTTTTCTAGTATGTATTTTCAAAATAGTGTTTATTTCATTTTTTTTCTGCTGCAACACATCTATCTATCTATCTATCTATCTATCTATCTATCTATCTATCTATCTATCTATCTA